AACAATTTTTAATTTAGGGGACTCTATCAATCTAGAGAGCCCATGAATATTTCCTATTAATTCAGCATGCTAGAAGTAGATGAAAGAGATAAAGAGTTCTCCCAAGAGAAAGAGCAACATAAAACAAGGCACTGTAATGATATCAAAATCTATTAAAATGTCCATGATTTGAAATCAATTGTAGTTACATATTCCAGTCAGAATGGTAAACATCTAATTTTGTGTATGAAATATTGGGATACACTTGAGATTTAGTTAGGGTCTTTTTTCTGAGGGAGAAACATTTGAGAAACTCCAGCTGTGATAAATAACCTTTGTAAAATAGTAATGTATGATGTATATACTTAGTCAAAATGCTCTCTATATAAACGTACCACCAAAGGACACATAATCTTGACATTCCCCTTACTATTAATTTGAAAGTATGTAATCATCACTTTTGGTTTCAGGTTTTTCTATTTCCTAGTATTTTCTGATAATTCAATCTCAATTAATACAAGTGCTTAGACAACATTGTTTATGTATAATCAGTGTAAATGTATAGACGACTCAGAGTTTATACACTAAAAGAGAAAGTATTATTGAATAAAGAATTTCCACAGGAAAAGGAAAATAGAGAAAATTTGTGTATTCCAGAATGTACAAGAAAAATGAGAGACCACACTCAATCCATACCATTTAAAAATGTTCCATGATAGCAAAAATATGATAATTATGCTAAACAGGTAGTTAAGTTAAACTCCCAGCTCATGGATAGTACCTGAAGCATAAGGTTGTAGAGTTGTATATTCTAATAGGATTTAATGCTGTGGCTGCCAGATTAGTTGTGTCTTTACTGTCACTTCATTGTCATCTTTAGATTTTATGTTTCAATCCTCAGCCTTAGACACTAATGTTCTTAAAAATATTTAAGCCTTATTATGTTGATACCCATTGTATATTGTCAATCAACTTCCCATATCTGCTTCTTCCTAATTACATAATTTATTTATTGTGGTGTGTGTGCATGTGTGTGTGTGTCAAGGAAGGTGTTTGTAGATCAGAAAACAAAATTCTAGACAAACTCTCCTTCTAATATATGGTTTCCAGGGGCAAACCAGATGCTCAGGATTTGAAGTAGTGATCTTCCTGGCTGAGTCATGTCTACTACCCCCTCATAGTTTTTATATTGAACCAGAAAAAAAAATTCCATCGAAGTTAGGAAAATAGTTACTCATTTTCTGTAGAGATTTGACTTTTGCTGAAATTTTGTAGGAAATGATTCCTTTGCTCATATAATTAATTTTTTATTTTATTTTCCAGTTTAAATTTAGATAAGAAACAAGGTTGCTTCACAAGTCAGTTCCAGGTCCCTCTCCCTTTCCCTCCCCTCCTCCCGTGCCCTCCCCCCAGCCCCCCCCCCCCCGTTATCCCCTCATTCCACCCGGGAGGGTGAGGCCCTCCATGGGGGTGTCCATAGTCTGTCATTTCATATAGGGCAGGGCCTAGACCCTTCCCCAAGAGTTCAGGGTGAGAGTGCACCTCACATTGTTCTATGGGAGTCCAAAGTCCGTGTGTATACTTGGGATGGGTACTGATCTGCTGCCCAAGGCTCAATAGATTACCTAGGCCTCCTCACTGACACCCAGATTCAGGGGGTCTTGATCAGTCCCATGCTGGCTGGTTTAACCCCCAGAAACAGCTGATCAGACAAAGGTTAACTCTTGAATCCCAGGCATATAATTAATTTTTATATTAAAATATTACTGGAAAAATTAATTTTACAAAGTATGTCCTATGTCAATTTCTAAAATTCTGTAGTATAATGGTCTTAAGTTAAACATGAATGAAACAACATAAAACACAGTTTTTTTTCAATATTGAAGAAGAAGGCAGGGAAATGTAAGAGTTAGAATATATATGCCTGCAGATAAATCCATGTCTAACACCATGCATAAAAGTTAAGTCCAAAGGAATCAAAGACCTCAACATAAATCCAGCCTCACTGAACCTCTTAGAAGGTAAAGTAGGAGGTACCCTCGAATAAACTGGTACAGAAGACAGCTTTGTGAACATAACACCAGTAGCACATACACTGAGATGACAATTAGTAAATTTGACCTCCTAAAACTGAGACACTTCTGCAAAGCAAAGGACATAGTCAACAAGACAAAACTGCAGTCCACAGAATGGGAAAAGTTACTCACCAACCCCACATCTGACAGGGGACTGATCTCGAAATATACAAAGGACTCAAGAAGCTAGTCACCAAAACATTAAATAATCCAATTAAAAAGTGGAGAACAGAACTAAATGGAGAATTTTCAATAGAGGAATCTAAAATGGTTGAGAGACACTTAAGAAAGTGCATACAACCTTAAACATCAGGGAAATGCAAATCAAAACAACTATGAGACACCAACTTACTCCTGTCAGAATGGCTAAAGTCATAAACATTAATGATAGTTTACGCTGGAGAGATTGTGAAGAGTGGTGGGAGTGCAAACAGGTACAGCCTCCTTGGAAATCAGTATGAGGGTTCCTTGGGAAAATAGGGATCAGTCTACCACAATGCTCAGCAATTCCAATCTTAGGAATATACACCAAAGATGTACATTAATACAATAATGACATCTGCTCAGCTGTGTTTATAGCAGCATTATTTGTAAGAGCCAGAACCTGGAATTAACCTAGATGCCCCTCAACTGAAGAATGGATAGAGAAACTGTGTTATATTTACACAATGGAGTACTACTCGGTGGAAAAAAAAACAATGGAATCTTGAAATTCCAAGGTAAATGGATGGAATTAGAAGAAATCATCCTGAAAGAGGTAACCCAGTCACAAAAAGATAAACATGATATGCACTCACTCATATATGGATTTTACACATGGATCAGGGGAGTGTCAGCCTACAATCCCACTGCCAGAGAGTATGGGAAACAGGAAGAACCCTAAGAGAGAAATGCGTGGTACCCCAGAGAAAGGGAATGAGGCAAGATCTCCTGAGCTGACTGGCAGCATGGGGGGGGGAGGAGAGAGGGAGCCTGGGAAAAAGAGAGGGAAGAAGAAGAGGGGATAGAAGGACATGGGGGAGCAGGAACTTTGAGTCAGGGGCAGAATAGAGGAAAGCAGGATGAGAAATACTGTAATACAGGGAGTTAGTATGGGTTTGATGAGAGATCTGGCACTAGTGAGATTTCCAGAGATCTACAAGGATGACCCCAAGTAACAATCTAAGCAATAATGGAGCGGCTACCTTCAGTGCCCTTCTCTGATAATGAAATCGATGACTATCTTGTATGCTGTCCTTCATCCAGTAGCTGATGGAAGCAGAAGCAGACACCTACAGCTAAACGCTGATGTGAACTCTGGGAATCCAGTTTCAGAGAGGGAGCAGTGATGAGCAAAGGGGTCAAGACTGTCTGAAGAAACCCACAGAAATAACTGACGTGAATAAGTGGGAGCTCATGGACTCCAGACTAACAGCTGGAAAACCAGCATAGAACTGTTCCAGAGCCTCTGAATGTTGATGTCAGTTTGGAGGTCTAGGCAATATATGGTGTCCCTGGTAGTGGATCAATATTCATTCCTAGCATATGAATGAAATTTGGGAGCCTGTTCCACATTCAGGGATACTCTCTCAGCCTAGACACTTGGGTGAGGGCCTAGGCCTGCTGCTAATGATATGACAGACTTTGAAGATTTCCCATGGAAGGTCTCACCCTCCCTGGGGAACAGAAAGAGGATAGGATAGAGGATCTGTGGTGGTAGGAGATGGGAGGAGGGAGAGGGAACAGTGATTGACACGTAAAACAAGTTTGTTTACAATTTGAATTTTAGAAAAAGCAATGTAAAGTCCATGGGGCTATATAGACCACTAAAGTTCTAACAGCATATAATCACTTTTATAAATACCTAATAACGTACAACAAATAACAAAAAATCCTTAATGTTGCTATTTCACAATAGTACCTTCACTTTAGCATGGTAAATTTAAACACAGGAAAGATTATTATGTTCCCATGGTTGTTCCAAAGAACTAGTATTTGTAAAGATTTACATCTTTTTCTCTCCAAGGAACTTAGAAAAAAATATGTAAATAAGTATTTAATATGCATGACAAAATAATTCTATTTCCTAATGAAATCTCATCATGGAGTAGGAAATTCAAATGCACATTCCTAGTACTTTGTAGAGATAGTTTATGTATATATATATATATATATATATATATATATATATATATACAACTTTCCAGTAGGAAGCCTGAATCTTTGTACACTGCAGACTTTGTTATTGATGGGAAATGTGTGTGTGTGTGTGTAGGCTTGTACAGAGTCAAGAAGTTGAACTGAGGTTTTTGTCCTCTCCATAGAAACTGTCTACCTTCATTTTGAGACAGGATCTATTACTTGGCACTGGAACCTACCAATAAGCAAAGTGGGCTAACCAGGAGACACCTGTAGTCCACTTGTCTCCACTTCCCCCGCTTTAGGACACCAAGCACATCAGCACATCACTTTCTTGACAATGTTTGCATAGGGCCTACAGATGGAACTGAGCTTCTGATGTCCAGGAAAGCCTTTCAAGGATTGAGCTACTTTCCCCACCTCTGACACCTTTAGAAATGATGTCAAAGATTCACCTGAGAATCCTAAGAGACTTAATGATCAAGTATCTTTAAATAAGAAAATAATTTCAATAATCCTTTTCATGTTCTTTCATGCTAAGTAACATAAAATGACCTTGGATACATTAAGAAAGACAAACAACCTTTAAAAATTTTCAAAATCAACATCTGGAACTTATAATTCTCTTTTAAATATGTTGTGAAAATTAAAATGTTACCATCTTTTAGCAGGAAAGCAGCAGATCTCTATTCTGACATCTTTTATTGAAAAGAGCTCATATTTTATTAACATTATATATTTAAGACATATGTGTTATTTTGCTGATGCAGAAATATATGGCATATTTCATTTCCAGATGAAAAGAAAGGGCACAGAATCATAAATTACCTTTTTCAATGTGCATTCTTTTGGACTCATGTCCCATGTCATGACCAGCCAAATCTCCCTCCTTTGGCCCAGGAAGCACATTTGGTGATAAACCCATCAGCATCTGGTTCATGGACAATCCATTCTGATGGACAGCTTTAACCCCAAAACAAGGAAGAGACACAACAGCATCATAACTTTGAGGAAAAAATAATAGCATAAACATACTATACACAACCTTGAAATTAAAATCCCTGAGTAAATTTATTGGGAGGTTGAACACAAATCCTTATCCTATAGGATAAGCAGAAAGCACTGGAAATAACACTTTATCTGTTGTCATACAAAACAAACTGCTCTCCATGGTGAGAATATTGTGCAATGCCTATTTTAATGCAACCACTACCAATGAGGTACTCAATATTATATTCTTGTGCATCGAGTTGTCTCTTCAGTAAATAGTTTTCCCCAATTTTGAAAAACTGTAATCTCAACAATTAAGCTCACTTTTTTAACACCATCAGGTTAAAATTGGTGATGTCTAGTGACCTGCCAAAGCCAGTATAGTTTTCTGCAATTAAAGAACTGAAACCATGATTTTGGAGTCCTTATCGTATTCTATACCACAGAATGTGATGCATCGTAAGAATCACAAAACTTTCTGAAACATAGTTTTCAACAACTCAAATTACATTAATGAATACTAAATTATTGGAAAATAATTGCAGTCTCTAACTGCTAGTGGTTATCTGTCACAATTGAAATGATAAAATGCTGTTATTATTCAGATGACTAAACACATAGCACTAAGTCAATGAATTCACTTAATGAACTGGTCAAACAAAATAAATCTTGTTTATTTTGAAAATTTGCATAGGAAAATATATTATAAATAACTTTACTTTCCTGAAACAACTGAGTCCTATTATACTCATTGGATTGTATTAAGAGTCATTCCTGGCAACCAACCTTTAATTAGTTCAGGTTTCAAAGGTACTCATAAGCTAGGCATGGAACTTTTATGGACAATAGATTACTTCATCTGAGCATACTTTTTGCAAAATATTAATATCTGAAAACGATAACAATTTATTGCCTTAAATTAACAAATGATATAGTCATCAGTATATATTCTCTATCCCACTGCATGGTTCTCCAAAACTGCTCAACCACAGTTGTGGCTCTGAGCAAAAATAAAGTAGCTAACTTTAATGAAGAGGATCATCACAATAATTTAAGAGGAAGAGAATTCTAAAACACAAAGGCCTTGCATTTGTTCCAATGTTAAGGTAATGGTGTGGGTGGGCGAGGTATTGGAAGAATTTCAGCATCCTTAGGCAGAAATAAAAGTACTCTGATCTGTGACATTGAGTTGATTTTTACACCAGGAAAGAGAATCGTCTTGCTCCTCAAATAATTAGTTGGAAAACACATTAAATGTGAAATTATCTACAGTTTGTATAATAATGCTAACATCTTAATTGTGGACCATTTTTCTGTGATTTTATAGAAGAAATCTCTTATATGTAGAAATGAAAACTAAGTTTATTTTTGAGCTGGAGTTACAGGTGGTTGTGAGCTACCTGAAATGGATACGAGAAAACAAACTCTGGTCCTCTGAAAGATGTGGGGGCGGCTCCCCACAGAAAGAGCATCAAATACTCTTAGCTGCTGAGCTACTTCGCCATACCCAAATTAATGTTGTAATTTTTATATGTAATAAATTGAAGACCTACTTCAAATTTGTAATAATAACAGTAGAATATATGCTACAGATGGTTCCAAACAGAAATTCTAAAATTAAAGTTCTTTAACCCAGTTATCATCTAAAATGAAGAGGATATAGACTTTCCAAATATACTGTGCTTAATTTCATTTCTGTTGCTTGTATAGGTGAACATCTTTATTCAGTACTGATTAATGCAAAAGCCTGATGAATTTCAAAAGTGGCAGAGGTCTCCACTGAAAGAATACAGTTTAATAAAACATAGGCAATGTACTTAGATGTTAGATAGTTGGGAACTGGCTGTGTACTTCAGAAACTAATCTGGAAGATGACTTGCTTTTTCTGTTTCATAGCTCAAATCTTTATGAGTAGTATCAAAGACAGGAAGTTATAGCAGAACCTGCTAATGCTTCTTCATCCTTCATGGCATTCCAAACTGGGACACATAATTTTGAGGAACGGCTATTGCTAGTGTGCTTCAGAACATGATACATTTGAGCTCTATTTGGAATGAGGGCATTTTGATTAGAAAGCCCAGCTGCACCTAATAAAGTTTAGGATGGTGACAAGTACAAGTGTGAGACCTACGGATTCTGTCGGAAGAGCTCTCGGTCCGGGCAGGAGAGCTGGACACACTGCTGCTGCGGTGCGATGATGGGTGGCTGCCCGGCCTTCGGCCCTCCTCAAGAGAGGGTGCAGGTGAGGGGCTGTCGGGAACGCGCTCCTGCATTGCGAGGAATGAAAGAAAAAAGAAAGCTCAACATACCATGTCCTGATGTTACGAATATTGGCTTTTCCTAAGGCAATCAGATATATGAAGAGGGCTGTCTGCAGAAACCCCACAGAGTTTCGTCAGCACTTAACTGTACTAAAAGACATATTTAATCTCGACAAAAATATCTCAACCTTTGACAATTTCAAATTCTTGAGTTCATTGTCATCTGTATTAATATCATACACTCTTGAAAAGGTAAGGTAGGAAATTGTGATTTTATACCTCAATACAGCCATGACAAATAATCATCTATTCATTGTTGAAAAAGTTAGGCCATAAAAGACAATTAAAGTTATCCTAGTAAGACCATCTGAACAAGAAAGGATTGATAGAACTAAGCAAGACTGAATTCTGGGTAGTTATTCTGAAAGCATCTTTACATCTGTTTTCCTACTTCAGCAGGCATTAGGCATCATGTACCACACACATTATGGATGTAACTGACCAAAATATTATCAGAGAATTGTCAACAGCACTTTAGGGCGACTCCACTCAAGACACGTGATGGTCACAATTAATGCATCATGGAAATTATTTTCTATGAATCAAATAAATCTTACTATGTAGGCCCCTTTCTCCAGTCAGTCATTCCTGTTGATCGTTTGGGTGTCAAGAAAACTTTCTATTATGTTTCTCTCTAAATTCTATGCAGATATTTGCCTACTCCTATATACATCAGTCTGAATTATCTCTGTAGCCATTCTACTTAGAGTTCTGTGAAAACATACATTATATTATACATATAATGAGCTCATGTAAGTGAGATTACAGATTAATAAAATAGCCATTAGTTAACACTTTATACTTTTAGAAACAAAATACTTACATCTTTAATATTAGCAGACGTAGGCACTGATGAACTGTCTGTACAATAATCAGTAAATACACTTGATTATTGAGACAAATATCCACATAAAATAAGGTATGCCTAAGAGGGAAGGCTTTGTGGTGAGCAAATTGGCAAAAAATGGGTTGGCAAAACCAGCAGAGACAGCTGATCTGAACAAGGGAGAGCTCTTGGAACCTAGACCAAGAGCTGGGAGGCCAGCATGGGACTGATCCAGACCCCATGAGTGTGAGAGTCAGTGAAGAGGCCAGGGCAACCTATGGGGCCCTGGGAGGTATATCAGTGTTTATCCCTGGTATACAAATGGACTTTGTGTGCCCATAGCACAAAGAGGGATGCTCTCTCAGCCTGGACTCTTAGGGGAGTGCCTGGACCCTGCCCTGAGTGAAATGACAGACTCTAGATATCCCCTATGCGGAAAGAAGTGGAGATAGGGTGGGAGGCTGGGGGGGGGGTGGTGGGAAGGTGGGGGAGGAGGGGAGGGAGAGGGAACTGGGATTGACATATGAAGCAAGCTATTTAAAATTAAAATAATAAAAAAAGAAAAAACAAAAAAATTAAAACAAAACAAAAGAAAATTTGTGGCTTTTACAGAGGACCTAGGTTTGGTTCCCATCATTGCAATAGATGTCTGTCTGGGCCTTTGCCAGTATCAGGCAGGTAGGCTGTACACATGCCTGTAGACAAGCATTCACATAAAATAATGTGTGTGTGTGTGTGTTCTTAAATGGTACAATATGGCTTAATGGTGTGGAAGCATGCAAATATCTGAGTAGAAAACTATAGATTATGGAGGATATGTTCTAAGACATATTTGAACTAAAAGATAATAATTTTAAAAATATGATTTATTTAATATAGAGAACCAAAAGAAGGCACAATACTGTGCACTTGAGGTAGAAAAGAGCATTCTTCACACCTCCGGTCACACAGCCCTATTAGTGTCCAGATGCCTACAATCTGACTGCCTGTGAGAAACCAATGACAAGATCTTAGAAATGCCTCTGCTTAAAATTTGTTTCCAGGCATTCTGGTTGACAAAGTAAGACACCTCTCCCCAACATCTACAGAAACACACTTGAAGGGTGAACCCTGAGTCCTAGGAATATGAGGTTATATAGAAAGACTTTCTGTGCAGTAGTAGTTCATCAAAAGCAGGTAATTCTACACTGGATGAACTGCCGATCTGTGGCTAGTGTCCTTACAAGATGCTGTGGTGATAAAGGATAGGCATTTTTGTGTGTGTGTGAAGAAGGAGGCAAGGCTGAAATTGCATATCAGCAAACCAAAGAAGGCCAGGAATTGTCATCTACTGACAGAGCCCTGGAGAAGCAGATAGCATCCTACCTGGAACTGCAGAGGAATGTGGCTGCCTAACACTTCGATTTTGAACTTCTATAATCCAGGAATATCTGAAGTGATTTTTTTTGTAACTTAAGTTTAAAAATTTATGGTTATTAATGTCTATGACCCAAAGACAAATGAGATCAAGTGATTGTATATATATATACATATATACATATATATATATATATATAGCAAGCCCAATCAAGTAACTCTTATAATACACATCCTTCTATTTCAATGATCTGCATTGCCAATGAAATCTTCAATGCATACAATGAGAATTCACTTTTCAGAACATTACAAATAAAATATAAACAAAGTGCCAAAATTTCAAAGCTTTATTTAAAAGATTTGTATCATAAATCAATTCCCAATGTGTGTCCTAAAGAACATGATGCAATCCCATAAGAAATTGCATTACAGCTGGGCGTGGTGGCACAAGCCTTTAATCCCAGTACTTGGGAGGCAGAGGCAGGCGGATCTCTGTGAGTTTGAGACCAGCCTGGTCAACCAAGTGAGTTCTAGGGCAGGTTCCAAAACAATACAGAGAAACCCTGTCTCAAAAAAAAAAACAAAAAAAGGAAAAGATAAAAGAAATTGTATGACAAAGAATGTACCTGGTCAGTGTAGTAAAGACTAAAAACAGCGACAACAAAAAGAAGACCACTATCCCTATAGTAGTCTAGGTACAATGCTATGGAATTCATGTAATGATGACATGATGAACCTTAGGAGCTTTTAGCAGGTCTATATTGTATTGGTTTTGGTGGAAAGGACAATAAAAGTGAACCACAGGGTGGCTGTCAGAGGCATTATACCATGGCATTGTCCTTCATCATAGTTGATACGATGCTAAGAATTGGGTGTTTTAATTTCTGCAAATAGAAAAGCTAGATGATATTTAGATTAATATAGAAAACTTACGTTCCAACTCAACTTCAGTGATCTCTTACCTGAAAGACTGAAGATAAACAAATCACTGAAGAAAACAATGGAAAAAGTTGGAAGATAAACACACACACACACAGTATATGATGAAATTGATCTTAGCTGTGGAGAATTATTGATTTCTTCCCTCCTTTGTAAGCTTGCATGGTACCTTTGGTAGCATGAAAGCTAGTAATGGTGAGGATACATTCAGTTCAGGTTCAGTTCAAGGGCCTCTCAAGTGCATGGTGTCTTAAGTAATAGGATTTTTAAAAGATTTATTTCTGTATTTTGTGTACATGAATGCTCTGTCTTGCATGCATGACTTTATACTAGAGAGAGCATCAGAACCCACTAGAGATGGTTGTGAGCCAAGCAGTTGCTGGGAATTGAACTCAAAACCTCTGGAAAATCAGCTAGCTAGTGCTCTTAACCACTGAGTCATCTCTCAAACAATAGGATTTTTAGTCTTCCAACTCTGGGAGCAACAAAGGACAACAGTGTTAGCCTTTACATTTTGGTAGCCTCTTAAACAACCCTGATCAGCAATTCAAAAGATGGGGTTATTCACGCCTGTTGTTAGAGTTTTTAATACGTAGTCTTTCTTTGTCCCATAGAGGGAATATTGTCATCCCAGATGGAAGAATTTAATTTAAGTTGTATATGTACATTTATACAAAGGGGTATGTAAATTATGTTTTTCTTCATTTGTTTGTTGCTTTTTGTTTTTATTTTTCTCTTAAGGCTCAGAGAACACTGGGGAAGTGGGGGTGGAAGAGTGTGAGAGCCAGAGCATCAGGTAATTTGTTGTGAGATTCTGTCTCCTAGAGGTGTCAGAAGCTAAGCTCATCAAATCTCACCAACATGACTGTCTAAACATTTGCTGAACAATGACAATAGACATGCCAAAGCAGAAGGGGGAAAGCCCACAAGATCTCAACATTACACAAACAGCTACAGGTAACTAAAGATCCTAAGTGGGAGAACTTATCTATTCCAGAGAGAAATACATCAATTTGCAGGTTAGCCAGACAGTGGTAACATACGCCTTTAATCCCAGCACTCAGGATGCAGAAGCAGGAGAATGTCTGTGAGTTCAATTCCAGCCTGGTCTACAAAGTGAGTACCAGAATGCCCAAGCCTACACAGAGAAACGCTATCTCTAAAAACAAACAAACAAACAAACAAAAAACAACAAAGAAAAATCAAACAAACAAAAAACAGACTGAGTAGCTTATATTTAGAAATACAAATGTGTATACTTATATGAATGCAGCAACAATCATTTTTTAAATTTTATGAAATTGATAGACAGCAAAGCAGTGTATATGGTAAGCTTTGAGGAAGGTAAAGGACAGAAGAAATGATGCAATTATAATGATGAAAGGTTAAAATCAAATTTTGGCAGCTGCAAATTGCATTAAATTAGTATAGTATTTGATGGTTATATTTTATGATGCTTTTGCAGTATTTGCATAGTTACTACAGAATATGAGTTTGAAAATTTACACTAGAATTTCTAAAAAATATATGGATATAATTATGTATTAAATTTAGTATAGTTGAGTTGCATCCATAATCAGGCCAAGCTTCTAAGTTATGCAACTTAATATGTTTGTAATTTTTTTCATTCTCAAAATTTAAAAATTGTTCAGAATTTCAAGCATGTGTTTTGATATGACGTAGACACACCTACCCCCATTTTTTCCTTTTCCTCCAGCAGTTTTCCTTCCCAACTTTGTATGTATGTATTTTTAAAACCACTGAGAACACTTAGCTCTGCCTATTTCTGACTGGGTATAAGAACGCTTGTTAGAACATACAGATG